ATTTTGAGCATAACCTTGCTAGCGTGTGAAATGAGTGCAATTGTACGGCAGTTGGAGCATTCTTTGACACAGCCCTTCTTTGGGATTGGGATGTAGACTGATCTTTTCCAAACCTCTGGCCACTGCTGAGTTTTCCAAACTTTCTGGCATATTGGCTGTAGCACCTTAACAGCATCATCTTTTAAGATTTTAAATAGGTCAACTGGAATGCTATTACCTCCACTGGCCTTGTTGTTAGGCATGCTTTCTAAGGCCCACTTGACTTCACTCTCCAGGATGTCTGGCTCAAGGTCAGCAACCACATGATCTGTGTTGTCCGGAACATCCGGATCTTTCTGATATAATTCCTCTGTGTATTCTTGCCACCTCTTCTTGATGTCTTCTGCTTCTGTTAGGTCCCTGCTATTTTTGTCCTTTATCAAGTCTACCTTTTCCACAAAATCTTCCTCTAATATCTCCAATTTTCTTGAATATATTTCTGTTTTTCCCTTTCTATTAACTACCTCTATATCTTTGCATTGTTCATTTAAGAAGGCCCTCTTGTCTCTCCTTGCTATTCTTTGGAAGTCAGCATTCAATTTTCTGTAACTTTCCCTATCTCCCTTGCACTTTGTTTCCTTTCTCTTCTCTGCTCCTTGTAAAGCCTCATTGGACAGCCCCTTTGCTTTCTTGCATTTCCTTTTCTTTGGGATGGTTTTTGTTGCTGTTACGAGTCTCCATCCATAGTCCTTCAGGCACTCTGTCCACCAAATTTAGCTCCTCAAATCTGTTCTTCACTTCCACTATGTCTTCATAAGGGATATGGTTTAGATCAGTGGTTTTTAACCTTGTGTTACTCAGCTATTTTTGGACTGCAACTCCCAGAAGCCTTCACCACCAGCTGTGCTGGCGGGGGTTTCTGGTAGTTGCAGTTTAAAAACACCTGAATAACCCAAGGTTAAGAACCACTGGTTTAGATTATTCCTGACTAGCCCAGTGGTTTTTCCTACTTTCTTCAGTTTAAGCTTGAATTTTGCTATGAGAAGCTGATGATCCGAGCCACAATCAGCTCCAGGTCTTGTTTTTGCTGACTGTATAAAACTTCTCCATCTTTAGCTGCAGAGAATATAACCAATCTGATTTTGGTATTGTCAATCTAGTGATGTCCATGTGTAGCGTCGCCTCTTGTGTTGTTGGAAAAGAGTGTTCGTGATGACCAGCTTGTTCTCTTGACAAAACTCTATTAGCCTTTGCCCTGCTTCGTTTTGAACTCCAAGGCCAAACTTACCTGTTGTTGCTTTTATATTTTGACTCCCTACTTTAGCATTCCATCTCCCCATACTTCTGTGCAAAAAAAATTTTTTTGACATATACAGTAGTGACCCGCATAGCGACGTTAATCCGTTCCAGGATTAACGTCGCTATCTGGAATCGTCGCTAAACGGAAAGAAAAACCCCATAGGAACGCATTAAACTCCGTTTAATGCGTTCCTATGGGGGG